AACACCGAGGGTTGCGATCCCGTGGCCGGTCCCGGTCCGGTACGGGCGCGACACTGAGGGTTGTGATCCGTTGCCGGTCACGAAAAAAGACAAAAAAAAAATGCACTACAGAGTGAAGTAATGTGACTCTGACATTCCTTGTCTAATGTTCAATAGGCAAGGAAGGTTAAGCAGTGTCATAATGAGAGCATACTCCTTGTCAAAGACAGTAGTTGAAATACAGCCCATGGGAGAATCCAGCTATTATTTTTCCCCATTGAACTAATTTTGGCAGAATTGCTGCTAAATTTTAATCATCGGTTAGTTTTATTTAATAAAATGTATTTTATTTTTACATTTTATATGTTTGTTTGCATCTGGAAATAAAACCAATTATATTAACATCAACAGTAACAGCAGGCTGCATTCATTGTGCCAAGAACGTTGCAGGTCAATTTTATTTGAGGCTACATTTTCTGATGTCTTAAATAAATATTTTGTTCTGAATATTTTCTGTCACTACGTACTTCTTCTACAACATCCACGACATTGGGATTGTCTATGAGTACGTAGATATGTCTCAGATTTTACAACTGTAAAGAGATAATTATACACAATAACTTTCTCATAGAATAATTAATGGAAAAAGCTGTCCCTTGTATCTTAATCCAGGTGAGGTATAATTGCCATTTTGTTTGTTTAGAAGATAGGAACACCATAGATTTTAGTTACACTTCTTCCTTTGAATGTTCAATCTTATCAAGGGCGCAAATCCTACTCTCATGTAGAAGATGATTGATCACATGTGTTCAATCTACATTTAAAGTCAGCTATCTTATTTTCCATGAAAAACTCCAGACTCCTAGCTAAATACATGGGGTATGTCATAAACTTTTAGTATATCAAGTTTCAAATACAACTTTTATCAAGATTGCAACAATCACTTGTAATAAAGTTTTCCTCTTTTCTTCTTCTAAATACTGTTGTGTTTGGGGTCACAGATCCATTAAAACAATGCTCTAGTAACACAGCGTCGTAATAGTTTCCAGACTTCACAGAGATAGGCTGTGTGGAGCAGGTCATCTAAAAGATGACCCGACTAGAGGGCAGAACCAAGAGGCACATACGAGCAAACCTGAACAAAAGAAATAAATATTCCTCCACTACTGTCCTCTCCACACCCTGGGGGGTCACACTTGGTGATTCTTGGGAAATAGACTGAGACAGAAATAAGCATTCAGGAAGTTTACTGGGGAGTACACTTAGGACCAACACCTGTGGAGTGAATGAAGCACAATTGGGCATAGGAAAAATTAAACTGTGACTCAGTTACAACTAAGGACTTGGCTAACCCTGGGAAGACCTCTGAGAGGGCCCTTCTCAGTTGTCCTGTACTGGGCAAGTGGTTTTGCCTTTGGTTCCCACAGAGACATCGATTGGATGTGGCTTGCCATCAGAAAGGAACATGATCTCGAGATAAGCAGTTTTCCTTAACCAAGAACAGCACCTTGAGAGGGATTTAGCTTTGAGCTGTCAGAAACTCATACTCCCAGCAATGAGGGAAACAAGTGCAAGGGTGTTTTTAAAAGTTTGTGGAAAAAATGGAACTAGAACATAGTACAAAGCTTCCCATGAATTTTTTGAAGTACCTTTGAGCTTATGTCCTGAAGGGGAAGGGGAATATGAAGAGCACAGAATCACGTCCATTAGACTGCACGACACGAACTCAATCAGAAGTCACAGCGAAGAGGGCCCTTTAATGCCATTCACACAGGTTTATTTCCTGTATTGCGAAGCAGGTGGATCATGTGATAGGGCACACAAAAGACATCTGGCAACAGTGTCTAGGTGACCATAAGTATGGTTTCCTGGAAGTTCTAGTTCCAGAAAGAAAGTACATGATGACATGAAATTTACTCATTAAGAGAATGCTGGCATGAAAAGCTCGCAACAGCCAGGAGCAGCCCTAGCTTTTGTATCCAAAAGATTTTAAAGATGTACTGACGTAAACACAAATTGTCCTTTATAACAGATCACCCCGTAGTGTCAACACACGATCCATAACCAACATCTCTCGAATGACCTAAGGATTTTGCTGTGGTATATGGCTGTTGATCCCTTGGTAGAAGGACTGGTATATAGCAAATACGTATACTTACTGTGTCATTGTGGAACATTTCCTCCAAGAGACCTGGTCTACA